TTCAATGTCCTGCCCAAAGTTTGGCTGTTTATTAGTGGTTTAAGGTCTTGAGGTTTCCTATTGTGTATGTGGTTCTGGCATTGTATGTGCTGTAACCCAGACAAGGTCTTTTAGTTGCAAGCATTTTGCATGTTTAGTGATTTTTATCTAGTTATCAGTTTAGCAGCAAGTGGTGTGCCCCAGCTTGTTGGCTTTTGGGTTTCCCCCTCTTTTCTCATTTTTCTTGCATTACTCCACTGCTTAGATTCTCTTGTGTCTGGTCAAATTGTGTCGCTCCTGCCCCCAAATCCTAGCAGTTACTCAGGCATAGAATAAAGATGTGACTGAGCGACTGCACTTTCACTTTTCACTTTCATGCATTGGAAAAGGAAATGGCAACCCACTCCAGTGTTCTTGTCTGGAGAATCCCAGGGACGGGGGAGCCTGGTGGGCTGCCATCTGTGGGGTCGCGTAGAGTTGGACATGACTGAAGTGACTTAGCAGCAGCAGAATAAAGAACCCCGTTTCCCTAAATTAAGACCCATTTCCTTCCCTCAGTAAGCTCATGACACATACTATACTTTTTTCTTTTAAATAAACTTTAAATTTACATACAATTACATGCACTCATTTTAAGTGTACAGCTTGAGTTTTGACAAACGTATACAGCTATGAAACCATCTAAGTTAAGATTTAGAACATTCCATCACCCCAGCAGAACACTTAATTAAAAGATCATACTGTTTTGAAGTGTTTTTTCAGTTTATATAGAAGGAATATTTTTCTACACTGTTAGATTTACAGCATCTTTTCCCCCATAGGCTTTGCTGTGATTTAATCTTTATCTGTTCTGAATTTTAATTAAGGATTGTCTTGATGAGACATTATTACTTTGAAAATAGGGTTACTCAAAATGCATGTTCAGTTTCTTTAGGTGATTTTATTTAGTTTTCTTGTTTTTGATAAGTAGTACTTGCACATGTTACAAAATTGAGCAAAGGGGTACTCCTTGAAAAGTGTCCACTACCTCTGTGTCCCAGTCAGCGAATTCCTTTTCTCAAAGAAGCTGTTGTTTACTTGGACAATTTAAATCAGTTATTTTATGATTTTGTAACATTTTTTTGGTTCAGATGTATTTCTACATAATATATTACCTCATGTTGCCAGCAGGCCCTCATTCCAGCGTTTGTATTTAAATGTTTGATCACATTGTTTTAGAGACTCAGGCTGTCTGGATGAAGTGGATGAATTTGACCCAGTGTTACTGTACACAGGTGCTCTATCAAATAATACTTCTGCCTTAGTGTGTAAATTTGTGCCTATTTCAGTTATATTAAAATCTGAGTTGTGGCCATTTTCTCCTCTGGCTAAGTAGCACAGGACAAAATAACCATCTGAAATCACAGAAGAATTAAAGATTATATGTGCTGAGTTATACTCCAGTTGGATCTCTTAAGATTATTTAACTTACAACCAAATTGATAATCTGTGAAATATTGAAATCTTTAACTTCATGTTAATTTGGTTTCTTGAGCAATTTTATTTCAAATTCTGCCAAAAATCTTGAGGTAGATGATGAAATCTTTAATATGTCAGCCAGTTAGTATTGAGCAAATTATCATTATTAAAATTGAGGAACATAACTATTGGAGCCTCATGGTTGCTAAAGGGACAAGAGAAACTTAAGCCTGCTGCTCTGGTGCTTAGTATTTGGTCCTTTTAAGTGCACAACCTGTACAGAGGTATCAAGGCCAGAACTTTTCAGCAGAAGTTTGAGATAGTGTGTGAAGATTGGGTTTGAAGTTTTAGAGTCTTTTTTTCTGTGTATTTCAGCCTTGTGCAGCCACTGTCTGGCTCGTTAAAGCCTCGAGCCTACCATTTTTGAAAGTCAGATCTGCTCTTTCATTGGAATGTGAGACGCTGTGGTACTCAGCCTTGAGGCTCAGCCCTGGTGCGTCCGTGCTCTGTCGCTTCAGTCCTGGCCGACTTTTCGTGACCCTGTGGACCGCTGCACATGCAGGAATACTGGAGTGGGTTGCCATGCCCTCCTCCAGGGAATCTCACCGACGTAGGGATTGAACCTGCATCTCCTGTGTCTCCTGCATTGGCAGGCAGGTTCTTTAGCACTAGCTTTGCCTGGGAAGCCTACAAACCTTAGATCTTGGCCTTGACCTGCAGGAACTGGTGTAGTTTGGAGACTGACAGTAGGGTGGCAAAGCGTGTAAGGGATGACCTTCTGTAGGAGGCGCACCCCTGCTTTGCAGCAGTATTAAGTAGCATTCAGTCGCTTACCTGTTACGTGACAATTGACTTTCAAAATGGTAGGAATGCTGCTTTGTGGGCAGAATAATGTTTTATGGCTTAGATCTACTTCCTAATTCTCAGGAGCAAAAGGATTTTGTCTATGTGGAGACGTGTGGTAGGAGTATAGAATCTGGGGCCAGGCTCTCTGCGCTTGATCTCTAGCCCTGCCAGATGCTAGCTTGGACATCCTCACTTGATCTCTCTGCTTCTTTATCTGCTTAAATATACTAATCTTTGTCTAGGGTGGTGGGGAGGGTTAGAGTGCAGAAAACAGAGCCTAATGTAATTCTGAGCCTTATTTAATATTGCGGATTACTGTTTTCTGATTTTGCAAAGATACTGCCTCTCTGTAAGTCTAAAAAGAATGAACATCTTTTGTGTGGGAAAGCTATGATTGTCATTTCATGTTCAACAAAATAGATGATATTAAACATAGCTCTTTGAAGTGGGGCATAGATTTTTAAAGTAGAGCAAATGTTCATTTGTCAACAGTCGGTAGGAAAATGGGATGTTTGAAATAATCATATATTTTGATTTTATTAGGATTATATATATATAGAGAGAAGAAGAGTTAATTTTGCATGCATTAGTACTAAACTATTTTTATAGATGCTAAACTGAAGTTTTATTCTTTAACCCAAAGTCTTTAGGATTTTGCAGAACTTCACAGGGCGCCTCTCGTGCAGACTGACTGGCATGTTCTTGGAGTTGTGCGGTGTGACACAACTTGTTAAAGGATGCTTATTCAGAGGAGGCAGAACTCTTAATATCTGATTGTTTTCTCATTTATCATACAGTTGCATGCACAGTGTGAAAAAAACTTAATTTTTCCTTTCTAGTGGAAAGGAAAATTTCTAGTGGAAATCTTTTGGATTTCAGACAAAACTGTGTCAGTAAGACAGTTGGATTGAGAGGGCAAATCTGTAGCAACTGTAACTTGTTTTTGTGGGCCTCACTGAAAATTTCATTTGCTCTGCCTCCATCTGTCTTCTTGTCTGTTAATATCAACAGAGGTCTTTCCTATTAATGGAGTCCTCAAGCTTTTAGCACTTAAATTTTCCTGTGATTGTCATGTTTGAAACCTGAAGTAACTAGTAATCAAGGAAAAGGATTGGATTAGATGATCCATAGTAGTTGTAGAGGTGTAGCTGCTAGCTGGTGGCCAGGCAGGAGAAGTGCCTGTTTATGTCATTTGGTTTGCAAAGAATATTGATTATCTATAAAGCAACCAGGAAAGCACCATGCAATGACATAATAAATGAAAAAGTGTAAATGTAGTAAACTGTTTCTGAGGACTTTTATCTTTATCAGAACAAATATGTGCTGGAATATTAACCAGATTTTGGTTATTAGGAGTATGGCAATTTTAAGTAGATTTCTTTCTTTCTTTTTTCTTTTAATGAGCAGGTGAAATAATCTTGGGGGGAAAGCAGGTACCATAAGCAACAAATTTCTTTCTTATTTAGATATTTAAGCATTGGCATGATGCTGGGGATATACTATATGCATAATATCCCTTTTCTCAACAGGAAAGATGAAATATTGAGTATTGAACAGTGATTACAAGGTTAAAGAGGATTACAGAAGGGGACTTTCCAGTAGAAGGAAGCATACAGCAGTAAGATTTAACCCATTCCAATAATAGAATGTTCAGCCAAGTTTAGTGCTAGAGAGAAACTTTGAAATGTCTAAGGGACTATGTTTTAATAGGTGGAGGAGGTAAATGAATTTGTATGGTTGTATACAATTAGAAATGGAATTAAATTCAGATTCTTAGCTCTAAAGTTTTTTCCCTAGTAGGTACTCCAGGCTACCTAGTTGAAGTTAGCTCTCTAATGTAAAGTTAGCTCCCTCTTAAAAGGCTCTTCAACTTGGTAGTTCTTTGATAAAGAGATTAGCCAGCTTCAGTGCTCTCCTCCTCTGACCCTGTTTAATCGCAGAGTTAGCTGCTGCTTAACCTCTTCATTCCCCCCAGACCATTAGCTCTTACCCTTCACTTTCTTTTCTAATTTAGACTTTATTTTTAGCAAGCGGCAGAAGCCAGCTTTAGCTGTTTTAATTCGCATTAGTATTTACGGAGTTATGATATATCTAACACAGTCTCCAGGAGTGCCAAAGAGAGAGGCAGCTAGGAACAAGGCTCAGAATAACATCACTGACTTCACTGCAGACATTGCATGCATCTCACACTGCAGTGTGATTGCTGGTGCTACACTTGGCTGTCTTTGGGTAAGTCCTGTTGTTTGTTCCAGAAAGAAAGTGAAAGTGAAGTCGCTGAGTTTTTGCGACACCGTGGACTGTAGCCCACCAGGCTCCTCTGTCCATGGGATTCTCCAGGCAAGAATACTGGAGTGGGTTGCCATTTCCTTCTCCAGGGGATCTTCCTGACCCAGGGATCGAACCCGGGTCTCCCGCATTGCAGGCAGACGCTTTAACCTCTGAGCCGATCTTTATTTCATATCTTAGTTTCTGAAGCACAGGTTTTGAATGAGCCTAGGTCTCACATGCTGGATTGCAAGAGAGTTAGGAAACAACGCTAAAGCTTCTGTTGAGGGATGTGAGGGTCTGTGAAGGTTGGGGAGTGTAATCTTCAAATATATGGATGTTCTAGCTGTCGGGTAAAGGATTGATGAATGTCTTCATGAATCTCCTTTTGCCTTATGGTGCCAGGCAGTCCTATGTGTGACCATAGTTAATTTTTTATTTTTATATTACAGTTACTTCAAATTTTTGTATTCTTCTCAAGCTCTCAATCTGAACATTGCACTGAGGAGGAGGAGGGGAAGGTATGAACAAATGGGGAATTTTTACCATTGCTTAATAGTGGACTAATTTATAGATAAATGGCCAAACTTACACCTACGGGCCTTAAAATGAATTTCCAACTTCAAACAATGAGTTAAAGCTTGAAGAAAGAAACCCATAGTCTAGATAATTTTTAACTTAGCTAAATTTTTTAAAAGTTAATTTAAAATGTTACAAGTTCACTGGTTTTTGCTGGAGTGGATTGCCATTCCACTCCAGAACACTGGAGTGGGTTGCCATTTCCTTCTCCAATGCGTGAAAGTGAAAAGTGAAAGTGAAGTCGCTCAGTCGTGTCCGACTCTTAGCGACCCTGTGGACTGCAGCCCACCAGGCTCCTCCATCCATGGGATTTTCCAGTCAGGAGTACTGGAGTGGGATGCCATTGCCTTCTCTATGAGTCTCCTCATGTCTAATTACAGTGTTGGGTATTCAAAGGACATTTTTACCACCAAGAATTTCATGAGTGTTATATGAAGGAGTAGTTGATACTGTCTTTAACTGTGATGTCAATATTTATAAGTCTTATGGAAAAAATGAATGGAAAAAAAAGATGGAGATGTAAAGTTTCCAGAAAACATTTAAAGTGTCTTTAGAAATAGCCAAGAAAAAACATGCCCTGATCTAGTCCTGTTGTTCATATAGTGTCTCTAATTCAAACCTGTACCTAGTCCAAGGCCTTGACATTCCCATTCTAAAATACATCTTTAAAAGACTGACTTTTATGTATACTTTATGAAATTTTAAGTCAAGAACAGTGTATGCTTTATACTCACGTTGAAATAAATTCCTGGGGTGAGAGGGGGCAACAGACTCTCTTACTCAGAGTTAGTTCATACAACAATACTATGAGCAAAATAAGGAATTAATATATTTGTTAGTAAGTCTGTATTTCAGAGTCACAAGAACATTTCAGAGCACAATGATTTGTGCAATATGAGAGAAAAAGGATTACCATATAACACATAGTTTGAGGTCAAAATTACGTATGCCTTTCCCTTCTCCAGGGGATCTTCCCAGCCCAGGGATTGAACTCAGTTTCCCACATTGCAGGCGGATTCTTTACCAGCTGAGTCACCAGGAAAGCCCAGGAATACTGGAGTGGGTAGCCTATCTCTTCTCCAGCGGATTTTCCCAGCCTAGGAATTAAACCGGGGTCTCCTGCATTGTAGGCAGATTCTTTATCAACTGAGCTATCAGGGAAGCCAAAATTATATATGCCAATTTTTAAATCAGATATCGCCGATTTTTTCTACCTTATTTATTTTAATAAGACTATATACTTTTTCAGTTGACAGCTCCAAAAGAAAACTAAAGGTGACATGGTTTAATTTACCTTTTTCATGAAGCACTTCTGCATGACTGTGAAGCCTTGTCCTGGCGAACATTTGAGATTTACTCTTGCTATACTGTAATGGTCACTCTCTTTCTTTCTTAATTTTATTTTGGCTGTTCCAGGTCTTAGTTGCAGAGAGGGAAATCTTTGGTGCTGTGTGCATGATCGAACAGAGATCTGATCTGAGCAGAGATCTCAGATCTGCATGATCTGAGCAGAGCTTGAACCCCAGGACCCCCACTTTGGGAGCTCAGAGTCTTTTAGCCACTGGACCACCAGGGAAGTCCCTGTCAGTGGTCACTCTTAGTTCATCATTTTCCTCATGTGTAGAATGGGTCTGGGGATTAAATGAGTTAATGATACATTTCAAGCATCAGTATTTGACCTAGTTTGTTTTTATTACTCGAACTTTTATATTATCTGTGAATCAGGGAACTTTGCTTGATAATTGCACAGAGCCCCTGACCTTATGGAATTTACTGACTCGTGATGGGGGAGTATAAGAAGTAGACTGCAGCGTATCCTCATGTGTTTTGTGGGGCAAGAGAACTGGGGGATAGTAGACAAGGAAATCAAGGAATTGAGCCTAACAGTTTTCCTTGTTGGATGCAGTTTGTTAGTAAGAATTTTCAGATTTTTGTCCGCTGTCAGTGATTTGAATAAATCGTACATGCCGTCGTCCCTGGGGTGGAAGTTACTAACACAGCAGGTATGGTAATCCTTCTCATCAGCTCTGTGTGGAACCTGAGTGTGCTTGCTTTTATTCCTGGAAGAAACCTGTATTTAGCACTTAAAACTACCATTTGCTAGCTGGAATGCCCATCTTAAAATAGTGTAAGTGTTAGTCGCTCAGTTGTGTCTGACTGTTTGCGACCCCATGGACTGCAGCCCACCAGGCTCCTCTGTCCATGAGATTTTCCAGGCAAGGATATTGGAGTGGGTGGCCATTGCCTTCTCCAGGGGATCTTCCCAACCCAGGGATTGAACCCAGGTCTCCTGCACTGCAGGCAGATTCTTTACCGATTGAGCTACAACGGAAGCCCTAAAATAGTGTAGGGTCCAACAAGTCAACCAAATTATTGTGCTAGTTATAATAAGAGGAGTGGAGGTAATTAACACACAGGAAACTGGGAGTACAGGGGAGATGCTTCCAGGCTAATTCAGACCTGAGGAATAAGTTGATCAGATATACTTAGCCTTTGAAAAGTCTTTCTTTGGCTCCTAAGTCTCCATTCCTTTTCACTGAACTTAACACCCAAGTATCGATCTGGTCTTGGGTAGAGGAAAAAAATTAAAACAGATTTCTTGTGCAACTCATCCCATCCTATCTCTTGGGTATTACTCCAAGTAGAATGCAGAAATTCTTTCCTAACAGTTACTTAGCAGTCTGGTGGGAAATAAAGTTCTTCAACAAAATGTGATATCTTGGTCTAAAATCTAAGATTTAGTCCTTAGTATCCAGAGCCTTTGAAACAGTTACCTCCATTTTTCCTTTTCTGAATGTACCACCTAAAAATAAGTATGTGGGAGTAGAAAAGGGGAGAAAAAGGAGGAAGAGGAGGGTGTGCCTTGAGAATCATCATTTTCATCTAAGTTTAGAATAAGCCGTTTTTTAAAAAATGGTGAGTTAGGATAACATGATTAATTTTTATGATCGTCAGATTTTTCATTTACCAAGGAAAAGGAATTGAAAGTAAATTATGTCTTATATCCACTAGGGGGTAGTGTGAGCCATAAAAATTAAAATTATTTCTCACTGATTAACCTGTTTCGTCATGAATTTGCTTTGTTTGAATCAATTTTTCTCCATGCAGTGTTTTTTAATTGCTATAAGTCATCATTTTCAAATACAGTCTTATGACTGTAACAGACAGTAACACACACTCCTGTCTAGTGATTCAGATGTTCTGACTTGACTCTTTTTTTTTTTTTTTTGGTCTGTACCCTCTGGCTTGTGGGATCCTCGTTCCTTGACCAGGGATTGAACCTCTACCCTTTGGAGTAAAAAGCACCCAGTGTTAACCGCTGCAGCACCAAGGAATTACCCTGACACTGCTTGTTTGTGAAGAATTTTCTGAGGGGAAAATAGGGCTTCCCTGGTGGCCCAGGCAGTAAAGAATCCGCCTGCAGTGTGGGAGACCTGGGTTTGACCCCTGGGCTGGGAACATGCCCTGGAGGAGGGCATGGCAGCCCACTCCAGTGTTCTCGCCTGGAAAACCCCCACGGACAGAGGAGCCTGGCAGGCACTCCATGAGGTTATGAAGGGTCGGACACAACTGATCGACTGAGCACACACCAGCGATATTTTAAAGTTTCTCTACCAAATCTTACTCATTATATGAAATAAAGTAAGTTATTCTTTATGACCTGTAAGTAAAATTATTATATAACAGGATTGTCTTCTGTTTCACTGTCCTGTATGGTAGCTACTAGCTTCATGTGCAGATTGTAGTTGAAAGGTGGCTAGTTCAAATTGACATGTTCTGTAAGTATAAATCACACACTGGATTTTGAAGACTAAGTATGAAAAAAGATTATGAACTATGTCAGTAAGTTTTATATGGGTTATATGTTGAAATGCTATTTTGAACATATTGGGTTAAATAAAACATTAAAATTAATTTTATCTTTTTCTTTTTACCACATTACTCTTTGATGTGGCTACTAGAAAATTTATAATTACACATGTGGCTCACATTATAGTTCTTGTCAACAGCACTGCTGTGGAGAAAGGCATTCACTGACCCATTTTTATCATGATGTACCTCTACCTGGCGTTATGATTTGTAAGGAAGTAATACAGTGAGGAAGTTGAGCACAACTTTGGTTTTGTTCCTAAGGCAGCTAAAATATATATGGTCACTTCTATAATGAGACATATGTGTTTCTAAAATTTATTATGTTAATAAGCAAAATCATGTGGTAAAAATCAGAGAGCTCATGGATGAGATGTTAGGGGCATAATACTCAAAAAACGTTGGTTATGTTTTTTAAATGCCCACTTAAATGTCAAGATTGAACTTGCAGATGCCCTCAAGTAATTTACAGTTGTGTTTATAATGAAAAATTGATCTTATGCTTTATTGATAATCTCCCAAAAGAATTTCCTGTTAATATTTTAGAGTCATTTAAAGATATAGTGACAGGTTGCAGTAGACAGAGTAGGCATCATTGAGACATTTCTCATTTTATGACTTATGATAAGAAATTGATGAGTTATTTAGTATACTAGATCTTAGATGAGTTAAAAAATTCCCAATTGCAGTTTTGTGTTTCAGAGAATATTCTAAATGGGGAAAAATCTAATTACTATATGTATAACATGTTGGGGGTTTATATGAAAAGTGTGTTAGTCTCTCAGTTGTGTAGGACTCTTTGCAAACCCCGTGGACTGTAGCCCGCCAGGCTCTTTTGTCCATTGGGTTCTCCAGGCAAGTATACTGGAGTGGGTAGCCATTCCCTTCTCCAGGGGGTCTTCCCGACCCGGGGATTGAACCTCAGATCTCCCACATTGCAGGCAGATTCTTTACCATCTGAGCCATTAGGAGGTGTATATATGAATAGTTAATAAATGGGGCAACTTTTCACACACACAGATTACCAGTCTTTCTAAAAATAGTTATCTAAAATTTTACCGTACATAATTCA